CTATAATGCATAATTTAAATTCAAATTCTAAAAAATGAGTAAATATTGCGACGATTCTAAATTACGTCGCCGAAATCATCGCAAACTTTAAAACGAAAAGTTCCCCGAAGAAAAGGCGACGAATCGCTCATATACGTCGCAATGTTGGGATGTTATTGTAAATATTTGTCGCAAGAGGAAAAAAATATTTTTTATTTTTTTTAATTAATAATAATTGCGACGATAGTTAAGAAACGACTCAAGGTGATTGGAAAATTGGCGACTTTTATATATTATTGCGTCGCAATGGTTTTCCAATTAAAAATTTCTAAATTTGTTTTGCGACGTAAATAGTGCAATGGATTGAAACGTCGCAATATAATCGATTTTTTTTCACAATTTTTCTGTTGCGGCGTTTAATTAGGTAAAGTGGCTATTTTATTTCCATAAATTTGTTGTGGCGACTAAAATATAGGAAAACGTCGCAAGGAAATTTTCGGTCATGCGACTAATAAATAAAAACGTCGCGAAACCAAATTAAAACCTCTTTTTCACACCTAATTTCAGAATACTTTTCATCCACCGTCTCCTCCCAAAATCGCAGCTGCAACCACAATCCTCCTCCGCCGAAGCAAATCATTCCGCCGTCGCCGTCGCTGTCGCGGCTGACGGCATAAGCCCATGTGTAGCCAAAGTCAACGAGATAGCCACCGCCAAAATCCCTCTATCTCAGCTCCTCCTTCATCTTCCACACCGCCGCCGTCGCCGCTTCAATATTCTCCACAGAAATCCACCTCCACCGTGCCGACGACATCACCGATTACTAAGGCCGAGCCACCACCGAAGTCCTTTTTCTCCCGCTCCTCCTCCCTGTTTCACACCGCCGCTACCGTTGCCGCTCCCGCCGTCGCCGCTGCCACTGCCGCCACCGCTGCCGCTGCCCCTGCCACCACTGCACTCCGCCGTCCTTCGATTCACTCCGCCGTCTATATTGTTGCCGAATTTGTAGAGTGTAAGTTAAATTATTTTATGTATGTAAAATCTTTGTTAAATTATTTTATATATATGTGCTTTGAATATCTTAGAATCATTTTTTTTATTAATTATGCTTTCAAGTATTTAAAAAATTATAAGATAACTGAGTTAATTAGGCCGTTCTTAGGGCCATGTTAGCCTGAAATGGGCTAATTCTGAGTTAATTTAGAATTTTATTTTTAAATTGTTGATGATGATGATACTAAGCAGTGATCACAGTTTTAATGGGAATGGTTAATATAATGGTAAATCCATAACAGTGGTCACATTTTTCAATCTCTCTCTAAACCATAACAGTTTCAAATACTCTTTATATGCTAACAATATTTTATTACCTTCATCAAGCTAAGTGTAAGTAAGATGTGGGCATTTACCACACATAATTTCAAATATTCAGATTAATTATTTTCCTATATTTTTTATTGTGTAAAATATATTAAAAATTAAATTAATTTCAGTAATTAATAGTTAATACGGTGTCAATTAAATAGTTTAAAAAATGGGTCCCATAAGATACCAAACTTACACTTGAAAGAGATCACAATATTATTTTCAAAATATTTTTCCCTACTATATATATACTCCGAAATTAAATTATTCCGAGAGAGACGAATATATAAATTTAACTCTCTC